TGTGTACTCCCCGTCCCCTGTGTACTCCCCGTCCCCTGTGTACTCCTCGTTCATCTCCTCTTACTTACTGTTGTCTCTCCAGCTTTTACCAACACTGAGATAGGATCTTACCCAGGTTCTCCTTGGCAATCCTCCTGCTTCATTCAGCATCCCAAGTGCTAGGAGCCACCAAGCCAGCCTTGCTGTTGTTAACACTCTTCTTTGGTCTTCTCTGCCTGTCTTGCAAAGGCATCCATCCTTGGTCTCTGGGCACTGTGACCCTAAATAGCAAATAAAGCTTATAGCAGTTCCCAGACCATGCATGAAAGGAAGAAGGGTTTTGTTTTAATCTTTTACTTTTGGTATTCTTTTTAGCCTGTTTTGTTGTTTTGGTTTGGGGGTACTTTTTATTGTTCATGTGTTTTTGAGATAAGAGTTAGTACTCTCCTTCTGTCATATGGTTTCTAGGGATTAGCCTTAGCTCACCAGGCTTGGCAGTAAACACTCTCACCTGCTGAGCCATCTCACTGGCCCTAAAGTTATTTTTTATTTTATATTTAATTTTTCTCACTCATTGCACAGTGAACCCTCCGTCTGAATTGTATGTTCAGCACCGTGCAGAGGGGGCCTTCAGAGCACTCGCTCGCCCACTCCACTCTCTGTTTGTTACTTGCACCACAGCACTTCTTAGAGTTGTTTGTTTGTTTGTTTGTTTGTTTGTTTTGAGGCCCATTCTGTCCTGGAACTTACTATGTAGCTTAGGCTGACCTTGTGCCTCGACTTCCCATATACTGGGATTTTTAGACATGAGCTTCAGTGGCCCGATAATACCTCTTATTTGTATGACCACTTGGTCACTGTAGGACTGGGGTTCTCTAACCCTGAATTGCATGTTTCACCAGAGCCAGGGAAGCATAGCTGTACTGGGATCTAAGAGACATTTCCTGCAAATGGCCTCAACACAGCCAGGATGGTGACATGCCTGTAATCCTGGCACTTAGGAGACAGGGGCAGGATCATCAAAATTTTGAGGCCAGCCTGGGCTACATAGAAAGACTGTGTTTCTAAGAAGAACCAAGAGGAGAGAAGGTGACCCTAGCAACATCCCCATAGTGAATAACTGTACAAGTCAAATTTCTCATAAAATTCTTCAGTGTTACATAGGAGTGCCATGTCTCAGCAATTCGTAGTCAAATACTATTGTAATCACATTTCCTATCTGGAGGAGCTTTTTTTTCCTTTTAAACATTCTTACACTGTAACCTAGGTTAGACTTCAACTCCCTGTGTAACTCAGGTTGGCCCTGACCTCATGACCCTCAGCCTCAGCCTCCTAAGTATCAGGATGACAGACACGCACCAGCATGTCTAGCTTAGGAAGACCTTCACATTCCCTCTTCCAAGTTTAATTAATTTTATAGCAAAGCTGAGCCTGAATTAATAGGTATTGTACCAGAGAAGGGCATACTTACATGCATTGAGAATGCCTTCACTGGGGCTAGAAATATGGCACAGTGGTTAAAAGCAACTACTGCTTTTGCAGAGGACCAGAGTTCAGTCCCCAGCACCCATGTCAGGGGGCTCACAACCACAGTCACTCCACTCCCCAAGAATCCAGTGCCCTTTTCTGGCCTCCGTAGACAACTGTACTCATGCACATATCCACACAGGGATACACAGGCATACAGAGAATTAAAAATAAAAACAAATGCCTCCAGGTGCTTGATGTTTTTGTGCCTCGGTGCTGTCAGTTGGAGGGAAGGAGAGAGCCCTCTGGAGCCCCGTCTGGATTGTTGTGGAACACCTTAGCTGAAGATAACTGTGAACACACCATATTACAACTAACAACATGTGTTAGGGACTTTTTTCGAATGCGGTGCTGGGATCAAGGCCACCTGCATGCAAGGAAGGTGCTCTGGAAGCTAAGCTCCCAGGCCTAATGCTGTCCTGTTTTCAGAGCAGAATTCTGTGACAGAGAATACGTGCATATCTTTTTAAAAAAGAATTTGGTGTAGAACTTTGATTTATTCTCTTAAAAGCAATATCCCAATGAAACATCTGTGCTGTTTTTTTCCATAATGATATTTCATTTATTCAATGAAAAAGAGGGACAGTAAGCCACTTTCATTCATTTTCTCCTAAACTCTCAAAACTCTCTTCCCTCATTAAAACAAAACCAAAAGGAAAAACAACAACACCCAAAAACACACACTGAGAAACACATTTGTACAAAAACCACACAGTATCCAATGATACCTGACTGACAGTCATGGGAAAAGCTGTGTTGGACTCAGGTTCTGTAGATTATCAACATTGTAAAATTATCTCCACTTGCATCTCTCAAACTGGGAAGTGATGGCATTACAGACCTTAGGTTACAGACAACCACAGTATGAACCAGAGTCCTATTCTTCCAGGATTACAGGGAGACGGCTAGTGTTTGGAGTCAGTCTACTCTGGGGGAGAATGGAGGGGAGGAGGGGAACCCTAGCCACGGTTGAAAGACACTGGGGTTGTCCTGGAGACAAGCCAGGAAAGTAAGCTCCCAAGAAAGAAGCTCATTTTTATTCCCACTCGGGACTCTAGAGTAGAAGGAAGGAGCAGGGTTTCCTTATTTCTAGCACCGCAGGACTCTGGCGGTGACCTGGGCACCTGCTCACCAGCAAACCCAAGAGTCAAAGGCAAATTTCAACTGTGGGTTTTTTGTTATTAAGAAATACCTACCTACACCTCCCGTACATAAAGCTTTAAAGCACACATAGAAAATACACCAATAAGGTGTTCTACCTTACATGCTCAAGAGTGAAACTGCCATTTAAAATTCTACCAAAAACATCTTTTGCTACTAATGGAAAGACAGCAGGAAGAGAAGGAAGGAGGGAGGGAGGAAGGGAGGGAGGGGGGGGGGAGGGAGGGAGGGAGGGAGGGAGGGAGGGAGGGAGGGAGGGGAGACAAAACCAAACCCATCTAATTGTCCATCAGCCAGGGTAGATACAGACTCAAATTATGGCATTTATTTGTGGCTCTTCCTCTGGGAGGCACCCCAAACCTTAAGCCCAGCGCTTTGGAGCCAAGTGAGGTCCTTGTGCCATCAGCACGTCTCCATAACCCTATGACAGCTGGAATGTAAGGTCTCAGAAAGAGAAGGTACAGGAGGCTGCTGATCACATGTGGACGTCTGCACTCTCATTCTGCACCTCAGTACCACTTAAGGAATCCTGTTCGCCCTGGCTGCAGCAGAGGGAGTTTAGGGATCTGTCCCCGCCACTCTAACCGAGTCGCATGAGATAAAATGTGACGTAATCTACTTAACCCATTTTACATTTTTCCTTTCTTATAGGAGGAAGGTTTAAAAAACATGTAACGTGCATCTGGATTCTGTGCTGTTTTTATAGATAGTTCTACTCATTTCTTTTCCTGTCCTTTCATTTAACTAAATTTAGACTGCCTTTTGAAGTTTTTGTTTGTTATTTTGAAACAGGGTCTTATGTATCCCAGGCTGACGTTTTGCTCTCTGTGTAGCCAAGGTTAGCTTTGAATTCCTAATTCTCCTGCTTCTACCTTCCAAAAGCTGGGGTTATAGGTGGACAGCCCCATGTCAGAGTTACACCACGCTTTTGTAAGAGTTTTCTGTGCTAAAAGTTTACAGGAAGTTACAAACCTATAATTAGGTAGCAAAACTAAGGGAATGATTATATACAGGGTAACATTTAAAAATAGTATCTCTAAATAACACTTATCTGCCATTTCTAAACATCTTTGATTATTAATCAGATAATGATTTCAGCTGGCTAGGTTTTTGCTGTACAATAGAAGGGATTTTTATTTATCTTAAATTCCATGCTTCATAAAATACTGGCCTCCCACCAGTTTGAGAACTGAGTCTAGATCCTCCTCTGGACGAGAAACTTCATCACCACCTCCTTTACTCTAGGTTATGAGGTCTTTACTGGCTCCATCTGTCAGACGGGATTCTTTATTCTCAGCAGCAAGCTTCACTGAGAGAAACCTCTGCATGGCACATCAGGCTTCCCCAAGACCAGGCTGAGGCTTGTTAGCGTCTGTTCTCCATTTTTTTTTCTTTTTTCTTTTTCTTTTATTTTCGAGACAGGGTTTCTCTGTGTAGCCCTGGCTGTTCTGGAACTCACTCTGTAGACCAAGCTGGCGTCAAACTCAGAAATCCGCCTGCCTCTGCCTCCCAAGTGCTGGGATTGAAGGTGTGCGCCACCACCGCCCGGCCCTGTTCTCGATTTTCATAAGTTGATGCTCTGTACTCTTGTCTTTTAGGGTGACCGTGGCTACAAGCAATCCAAAGACACTGAAGAGAGGCTCAAAGTTATCCCCAGATTTTGTTTTCCTGATTCAGAGGACTGTGTGCCAACCTTAGAACTCAAGAGGTAAATCAGCTCCTTCTGCTTTCAGTTTGCTGGAACTGTGTATAGACTCCATGTCTGACATAGGGGTAAAGTCAGGAGCAGGGAGAGCCACACAGATGCACACGGGCAGAGCAAGCTGTAATGGGGCCGGGAAGAATTAGAACATTTCTTGTGAGAGCTCAGGAAAGAAAAGCATTAATTTCAGTGTTAAAGAGAGGCAAATTTATGAATCTCCTTAGTTTACCACTCCTGTAAAATGGGTCCACATCACCTTCAGTTAGCTAATGGCCCAAAGTAACCAGGTTAAACCTAGAAACAATGAAGCAGAACAATTATAGTCGTCTTATTTCTCCTTTGAATTGTCAGAAAAAGCCACAACCTGGGTTCTGTGTTCCTGTGTAGGGTGTTCCTTTGTGGGTCTTATACAGACAGAGAGCCCAGCCTGATAGGTGTGGGTAACTGAAGCATTAAAAATTCTGTGGAACGGGGCAGGGTGGGGGAGGATAATGGTCCAGTTAATTGAGAAGTACTATTGCAGAGGACCTGAGTTTGGGTCCCGGGACCTTTGGTCCAGTGCCTCACAGCTGTCTATAATCCCAGCTCCAGGAGGATTCCACACCTCTGTTCTCCAAGGGCATCTGTACACACACACACACACACACTCAAATAATAAAAATGAAAATCTTTAAAGAGGAATTTATTTAAGGTGTTTAGAGGAAATTACCAATTTTAACTTCTAAAACAATCATCACTTCCAAATCCTGCTTGTTTTGTTTTGTCTTTGAGACTAAAAAAAAAAAAAAAAAACTACCACTGCTTGGCCTGGAACTTGATATGTAGACCAGGGTGATTTCAAACTCCCAGAGTTCCCCTGGCCTTCAGTAGGTGGAAGGCTGGGTAAAGGCATGGACCACCAGGTCTGGCTCAAATCTTCCTTTTATAAGTAGGTATCTTTCTTCAGACTGTAATGTGGGCATAGTAATTAAGACAGGCCTGTACTGTGTTCTGTCAGCTGCTCCAGGATCCTGAGGCAAGAGGATCACTTGGGTCCAAGAGTTGAAGGCCAGGCTGGGAAACAGTGAGACTTTGTACAAAACAAACAAGCAGAAGGCAGGAGAGGTGGCTCAGTGGTTAAGACCACTGACTGTTCTTCCAGAGGATGCAGGTTAGATTCTCAGCACTCACATGGCAGTTCACAGCCAGCTATACATGTAGTCCCAGGGAATCTGATGCTCACCTCTGACTCCACAGGCACTACGTGAATGTGATGCATTCATCTATACACATAAAAACATAGCTTAAGGGATGGAGAAGTGGCTCAGTGGTTAAGAGCACTGACTGCTCTTCCAGTGGTCCTGAGTTCAATTCCCAGCAACCACATGGTGACTCACAACCATCTGTAATGGGATCCGGGGCCCTCTCGTGGTGTGTCTGAAGACGGCTACAGTGTACTCACATAAATAAATCTTTAAAAACAAACAAACACCTTAAAACAATAAATAAGCAAGGGAAACTAAATTGTAATGATTAATTATGCCATTTAGGTGAAAAAGCTTATATAAATGAACCATTTCTATGCTGATGACCTCCTAGCTGATTGTCTCAGTGCCCGCTTGCCCCAGTGCCCTGCCTCACCTCCCAGAACGAACTGAGCCTGATCACGGCTCTCCATCTCTTAGCTGTCAATGCCAATACTCCGTTTTGACACCTGCTGTCTGTGGACGCAGTGTCTCTGGTTGGCCTGGCTGATCCATGGTTGGCTTCTTCCTCCTGAATTATGTGTGTTCTAGAATATTTAGGAACTGCAGAAGAAGAATAAAAAGCAAAGGCAGTCTGCTGCTCAGAAATTACCACTGGAAGTACTCCTTCCCAATAATTTTTGACCATATTTGAATGTAGATTCATCGGTGCTGGAGAGATGGCTCAGAGGCTAACGAGGGCTCACTGCTCTTGCACAGGACATGGGAGCTCACAGCCATCTAAAATTTCAGTTTCAGTGGCTCTAAAGCCCCTTTCTGGTCTCAGTGGGCACTGTACATAGTGGTTCACAGACAAATATGCAGGCAAAACACTTATTACACACACAAAATAAAACTAAATTTAAATATCAATTCATTATTTAAAGCTGAGGTTCTCTGGTTTGTGTGGGGCATCTTTGGGTATTTTGTAAGAGATGCTCATCTTTGGCCCATAAGTAGAATGAGGAGTTAGTATTTTTCTATGATTTGTGTATATTAAGAATACGATCTTTTTCCTAACTTTGTGTGTGTATGAGAAGGAGGACTGACATGCATGCTCCTGTGTGGAGGACAAAGGGCAACATTGTGTCAGTTCTTGCCTCTGTCTTCTTTGAGAAGGGTTTCTTATTCTCCACTGTTTATATTAAGCTAGCTGGCCTTGGTCCCCCTTCCGGGGATTCTCCTGTCTCTGCCTACCATCTCACTGTAGGGGAGCTAGGATTACAGTCTATTGCACCCTGCTTGGTATAGACCTGCAGGTCTGTATCTAGGACATACTAGTGTGGCAAGCACTTTATCCAATGAGCTGTCTCCCCAGCCGAGGGTGTAATTAATCTTTTCTATCACTGTTCCATGTGGCCTCTCAGAACCAAACCGAAGGATTTGCAAGAGAGAAATGACTTTATCAAAACCCTTCATAGCTTGCTTACCTGTATGTTTGGCTAAATCAACAAAAGGGAAACAAGATTGATTAATAGCTAGCAAGAGTAGATAAGAAAAGGGGAAAAGCAACACCAACAGCTTGTCCCGTACCCACTCACCAGAACAAGGCCTGGGCGCTCTGTAGGGGAATGTGACTTGAAATAAATGGGTATTTCTGTTTCCTCCTAGATCACAAATGACTCCTTTTACTTGTTCAGTGAGTAATGCCGTAAGCCACTGTGTTTCATTTTGTTTTCAGTGAAACGTTCTCCTTTGTGTTGACTGGGGAAGATGGAAGTCGGTGGTTTGGCTACTGTAAGAAGCTTTTGGTGAGTTCCAGATGGGTGCTACAGAGTTGGTTAAGGAACCAAAAATGCCGACTAGCAACTTGAGAAGTACTGTCTCTGCATGACTTTAAGGGCTCCTTAATTATTTGCACAGCCAAGAAGCTGCATTAGGGCTAAATATGACTCCCAGGGGATCTGGTGCCCTCTTCGGGCACTTTACAGGCACTGCATACACAAGGTATATAGACATACATGCAGGCAAAACACCTACCTACTGTACACATCAAACCAAAATAAAGTTTTAAAAAAGAAGTTATGCTAGCTTTACAAGAGCAAGATGAAGGTCACCATAGAATGGTCCAGAATAGAAAGGCTGCGGGTTTCACTGACTATTTCTTTGCAGTAGAGAAAGTAACACAAAGATCGAATGTCAGTACAGCACATTTGCAGAGTACTGTCCAGAGAGGCGGCAGAAGAAGCTGACTTCCTATCACGTATTTTTGGTCTCATGATTTGCTTAGACACTAAGCCTGGGTAAATCATACCTTCCTCCTGAGTACTTCTCCAACCTTTAAGCTCACTCAGAATGAAAGTTCAGCTCCTGCTCTGACTGAACAATAGAGAGAGAAGCCTGTGCACACTTGTAGTCTGTTGATTTTGGTGTCTGAAATAAGAGCATTGTTTGAGCCCAGAAGTTTGGAGCAAGCATCAACCAACATAGGAAGGGCCTATTAAATAAATATTAATAGTTAAAATTAGTAAATCTTTGTTCTGCTTGGGTTTTTTTTTGTTTTGTTTTTGCAGCCAGAAGGCAAAGGAAAGCGGCTCCCTGAGGTATACTGCATGGTCAGTCGCTTGGGCTGCTTCAATCTGTTCTCAAAGGTGAGTGAAGCCAGGCTCTGTAGGAGAGTGGTGATCCTCTAGGTCCGAGGCAGTTTTAGTGCTGGTGGCTTCATTGGAGAGGACCGAGTGGTGCAGACTCGAATGTTCTACTTGAGAAGGTTCCGCTCCGGTAGGTTAAGAGCCACAGGCTGAGTCTCAGGATGGCTCAGCAGGGAAAGGGACTTTTCATCAAGGCTGATGACCTGAGTTTGGCTCCTGGAACCCACATGCTGGAAGGAAAGAAACAACTTGTCCTCTCCCTACATGTTTGTGCTGTGACATGTGTGTTCGTCCCCCCCCCCCACACACACATTTTTAAAAAATAACCCATAGGCTTGAAGGGTTAAACTTAGACCCCCTGATCAGGTTCCTCCATTTCGGTTTTAGTTTGCTAAAACTCCTGGGTCTGGATTTTTTTTTCAAGGCAGGGTTTCAGTGTGTAACAGCCCCAGTTATCCCAGAACTTGCTTTGTAGCCCAGGATACCGTCAAACTCAACAGAGATCCATCTGCTTCTGTGAGTGCTGGAATTAAAGATGTGCACTCAGACACTGGCTTGAGTTCTTTCTTCTAAAGATTTATTTTTATTTTGTGTGCATGGTGTTTTGACCACACACATGTCTGTGTACAACATGTATGCATGGTGCCCTTGAGGCCAGAAGGTGTCAGATCCCCTGAGAGTGGAGTTACAGCTGGTGTGAGCTGCCATGTGAGTGCTGGGAATTGAACCCAGGATTACAGGAGTAACAAGTGCTCCTAACCACTGAGCCAACTCTCCAGCCCCCAAACTCACAGTTCTAAAAGAACATATCCTGAAGTATATCTTGCTCTTGCTTTTCTCTAGACCCAGCTCACAGGATATCATTGTCACTGTTACTCTTTGCCCGTTAGTGAAATGAAAATGGTCTCCAGAGCTGCTGAGATGGCTTCATGGTAAAGCACTTGCTACCAAGCCTAAAATCCTGAGCTTAATCCCAGGACCTACACAGTGACGAGAGAACTGCTAACTCCTGCAAGTTGTCTTCTGACTTCCACACTTAAGACATGGCATGCCACACCTACACACACTCACACTCACACTCAATAAGTATAATAAAAATTTTTTTTTTTTAAGAAAAAATAGGCCGGGCGGTGGTGGCACACGCCTTTAATCCCAGCACTTGGGAGGCAGAGGCAGGCGGATTTCTGAGTTCGAGGCCAGCCTGGTCTACAGAGAGAGTTCCAGGACAGCCAGGGCTATACAGAGAAACCCTGTCTCGAAAAAACAAAAACAAAAATCAAAACAAAAAAAAATAAAGAAAGAAATAATAGTTTCTAAATAAGTTTACTTATGTAATTTAGGGGTGGAAAGATATCCTCAAGGTGTGGTGCTTTGAGCTTTCAAGAGTCACAGAGCTTGTCTGTCTTGAATCTACTGCTGTAATTTATTTATAATAGGATTTCTTTATGTTTTTGGTCTGAGACCTTAATAAACTGTGGGCTGTGTTTGTGTGTCTGTGTGCGTGCCCGTATGCAGATTCTGGATGAAGTAGAGAAGAGAAGAGAAATGTCTCCAGCCCTTGTTTACCCATTCATGCGAAGTGTCATGGAAGCCCCTTTCCCAGCTCCTGGCCGCACCATCACAGTAAAGAGCTACCTCCCTGGAGCTGGAGATGAGGTAAGTTAATTCATCTCCTGAAGTTTAGTAGCCACTTCAAAGCCAGCCTTGCAACTATAGGCACAGTTGCAAGAAGCTTGTTCATGGGAAAGAATTGTTCTTACCTTTCAAGGGAATGTGTGTTATTTCCTAGAGATTCTGAAGAAACACTGAATGAATATGTGAGAGAGTTAGTTGATCCTTGGCCCCAGATTTCCTACCTAACATACATTGGGTCCCTCTATAGTGGCAGTCTCAACATAAATGACAGATACACACACACACACACACACACGTATTTATCAAATGGAATGATTTTACCAGAACTTAACAGCAGCTTCATAAACTCTTTGTGCCAGACTCCCCCCAATCACTACACGGTATCACTTGTTGTCCTAGCTGTCCTAGAACTCTCTGTAGTCCAGGCTGGACTTAAACTCATAGAGATCCACCTGCCTGTGCCCCTTGTATACTAGGATTTAATGAATTAGGAGTGTGCCACCATACCTGGCCAAAAGTAACAGACATTTTCAGACTAGAGAAAGAGCAAGATGTTCAGTTAATGCTGCCATTTGGGGTAAGGTCCAACATCAGCTCTTGGATTTCCCTTGCCTTTTCAGTCAATTGAACTCTGCCGACCACTCGATTCACGCCTGGAACATGTGGATTTTGAATGTCTTTTCAAATGCTTGAGTGTGCGCCATCTCATCCGGGTCTGTGCCTCTCTTCTTTTAGAGCGAAGGGTAATCTTTGTTGCCAACAGTCTAAGGTAAGAAATAAGTGGAATATGTTACTACATGCTGGTGTTTGGCTTGCTTTTATTTTTTTTACAATGGAAATATATTTAAAATATCTAGAACTAGGACTAGAGACCTGGCTCAGTAATTACAGTACTTGTTCTTACAAAGAACCCAGATTCGGTTTTCAAAACCCAAAAGGAAAAGAAAGAAATTGAAAAGACTAGTGTACAAAATCACAAAGATGGCTGGGTATGGTAGTGCACACCTTTAACCTGAACACTTAGACGGCAGAGGTAGGCAGATCTCTGAGTTTGAGGCCACCCAAAGCTACATAGTGAAGCTCTGTCTCAAAACAAACAAAAAAACTAGCCAACAAAACAGAAAAAAAAAGTATTTCTAGCTTTTGTTCACACTTGTGGTATCATCTACCCAGGAGGCCTGAAGCAGAAGAATCAGCTGAGCCCAGGAATTCAAGGACAGCCTGGGGTTGCCTCACCAAAGCTTTAAAAAATACCAGTATTGGTTTTCATAAGCATAATAAATTGTAGAGAACCAGACTGAGATGACTCTGTTAAAAGTTACTACATATTCACAGGGTTGTTGATCTGTGAAGGCCAGTGTGGTCACTGCGGAATTCTTTGACATAATATCTGAAATTCATTCTTTGTGTTGCTTTACCTGTGACATCATGTGCTTTCTTCTGTCTAGCACCCTTTCAAAGTGTGGCCATGCTGTGGTAGCAACACTGTATCCGTTCACCTGGCAGCACACCTACATCCCAGTGTTGCCTGTATCCATGATTGACATAGTGTGCTCGCCTACTCCATTCTTTATTGGGATTTTGTCTTGTTCCTTACCCCAGCTCCAGGACCTTCCCGTTGAAGAGGTAAGGTGGGTACGTTGTGCCTACAGGGAGTACTAGAGTATCGGCAGTGGAGCAAATGGCCTTTTAAGACGAGTAGAATTGTTATTAATCTAGTAATTTTTATCATCTGGGCTTCAGAAATGGCTCATCAGTTAAGGCCTCTTGTTCTTCAAAGGACTAAGATTCAATTCCCAGCAGCCACATGGCAATTCACAGCCATCTATAACTCCAATTCCAGGACGCACATGATACACAGTCAGACATGTGAGCATAACTCTCATACTTACGAAATAAAATAAATGAATCAGAACATTTTGAGAATATAGTAGTTGAAAATTTATTTATTACCCTGTCACATTTTATATCTTTCTTAAAAAGAAAATAATTCCATGGTACATGTGCATCGAGCACTCTCTTTACAGTAGTGAGCAATGGACTCATCTATTTATTAAAAAGTCTTCTTTTTAAAAATATTTGTATTGCTTCTTTGTGAATTTCACATCACACATCCAAATCCCCATCATATTCTTGTCCCTTTTATGTGTTCTCTGCCCTTGCAACTTCCCCTGAACCCCCCCCCAAAAAAAGGGTAGAGTAAAATAAGGTTTTGTCATGGGAGCTGTAGTGAGTCACAGTGTGCCCCACAGTACACGCCTTTGTCCACACATCTTCGCCTGCACATGTTCACTGCAGTGAGTCGTCGGTCTCGGGCTCCTGCTGCCTTTTTCTAAGCTGGGTATTGGTGACACATGCCTTTAGTCCTAGCACTCAGAAGGCAGAGGCGGTGGATCTTTGAGTGGATCTCTGAGTTCAAGGCCAGCTTGGTCTACAGAGTAAGCTCCAGGACAGCCAGGATTAGAAACTCTGTCTCAAAGAGTAACACTTGAAATGTGTGTGTGCGCGCGCATGTGTGTGTGTGTGTGTGATGTGAATGGAGTACCATGGCACACATATAGAGGTCAGAGGACAATTTGGTGGGTCAGTTTTCTCTTTCACTTTTATGTGGGCAACAGGGACAGAGTGCAGGCCATCCAGATTGGTCTTGCTGGCCCTTGTTTTCTTTTTTAAAACCAACACAAAATTTCTCTGGGTTTACTAAAAAAAAAAAAAAAAAAAGTTGTTTCAAATATAGCACATGTGTAGGTAAGTACCTTAAACAGAGCACATCTCAGTGAAGTATTATTACAAAGTGAGTATTTCTATGATTCCGCATTGGATTGTAACGGGAAAAGATTCACAGCAAAAGATTCAAGCCTCCTAATCTCTCAGTCCCTTCCCTGTGCCCCAGAAAAGGTGGCTACTGTCCTGACTCTTATAGTGCTCATCTGTGTTGTCATAAATATTTAATCGAGGGATTCTACCCTGGGACCTTAGATCCTTTTCTTCCCAAATAAAAGACACAAAACCTTTATATTTGTAATAAGCCTTACAGCATTAGAGCTAGGCAGGTATCAGCCCTCCGTGCTATTTTATTTACTTTTCTGTCTGTAACCCGGAGATATCACTTGCCAAGTTCTGCCTGGGCCACTCCTACTTCAACTGGCCCTCTGGCATGGCCATGCACTCACAACCCACCAACTCCATGGCTTCCTCTCTCTCCCCTCCAGGCCTGGAAACTGAAGCCCTTCCCACTTCTCTGTCCAACTATAGGCTGTAGCATCTTTATTCAACCAACAGTTTTAAATGAAAGAGCAAGGTTGCAGAGTATCACTTGGTGTCTGTGAGAATCTCCTCATCCCTGAGGTCAACCAGACCTCAGGGGCCAGTATTTAGCATTACAATACACAGCAACAGATCAAACCTCAACAAACCTATTTGTATTTCTTTATAATTTTATTTTCAAATATGTGTGGTGGCTCAGCAGGTAAATGTGCTTACACTCCAACCTGACATCCTGAATTCTAGCCAAAAGTGGAAGGAAAAAACAGACTTCGGCAAGTTGTCCTCTGAACTCCATGGCATGCCAGGGCTTTGTGCATAACACACACAGAGGGGGAGGGGGGACAGGGGTGCTAGTGACATCCTAAAACACTTATCTGCCATTCTTGGGTTTGAGGCTTGGTATAAAAGGGGAGTATAGCATGTCTTTAACTTGAGTAAATTTTTTTTTAAAGATTTATTTATTTATTATATATGAATACACTGTAGCTGTCTTCAGACACATCAGAAGAGGGCATCAGATCTCATTACAGATGCTTGTGAGCCACCATGTGGTTGCTGGGATTTGAACTCAGGACCTCTGAAGTGCAGTCAGTGTTCTTAACCACTGAGCCATCTCTCCAGCCCTTTTTTTTTTGTTTTTTGTTTTTGTTTTTTTTTTGTTTTTTGTTTTTGTTGTTTTTTTTTTTTTTTTTCGAGACAGGGTTTCTCTTTATAGCCCTGGCTGTCCTGGAACTTATTCTGTAGACCAGGCTGGCCTCGAACTCAGAAATCCGCCTGCCTCTGCCTCCCAAGTGCTGGGATTAAAGGCGTGCGCCACCACCGCCCGGCTAACTTGAGTAAATTAAATAGACCTTTTCCACACTAGCACCAATTTTAGCTTCTCCCACAGTATAGGAGAGGAACTGTCACCAGCTTCACCTGCTTCACATGTCACCAGCACTGTGTCAGCTTGTGTAGTTTAGCCTCCTCTGGTTGGTGACCTTGAGCTGTGTGCTCACTGTAGTTTAATTGGTGTTCCTAGATTGCTTCTGAGGCATGTTTATCGACCATTGAATATCATCTATTATAAATTATTTTCTATCTTTCCCCTGGGTTATTTACCCTCCATGATTTGTAAAATGGCCTTCCTTGTTATTGTTTATTTTGTTTGATGGTTCTGGGGAATCAAACTCAGGCTACCTAATTGAGGTACAGCGCAACCCAATGTTTTTATATTCTAGAAATCAGCTTCTCAGCTTGTTCATTTCGTTTCATTTCATTTTGTTTCGTTTTGTTTTGGAAAGGGTCTCAGGAATCTCCACTGGCTTCACACTCACTTTGTAGCTATGCATGAGCTTGAATTTCTGATTGTCCAACTCAGTCCTCCTAGTTCTGGGGTTGCAGGCGTTAGGCAGCACACCTGGTTTATTCAGTGCAAAGGATCAAACTCCAGGCTCTGTGCAAGCCAGGCAAACGCTCTGCTGACTGGGCTACAGTGCCAGCTCTGAGGCTTGGCCTTTCATTTTCCAAAAACAATGTTCTGAATTTGTTTTCGGGGGGGGTGTGTTTTGGTGGATTTTGGGGTGAAGATCACTATATCTCCAGGCTGGGCTGGAACTTGGAAGGCATCTTGTCACGGCGTCCAGACTGCTGCTGTTTTATCTTACACCACCATACCCAGCCCAGAATGACATTTTTTTTTTAAATTTCAGGGGAGTTGTTCATTTTGATGTGGTTAAGATGTCAATCTTTTCATCTATGACTGATGTTTACATGAGCAACTTAAATTTTCACATTAACTTCATGAAGAGGAAGATTCCCTCCTCTGTTATCTCCCCATCAGTTTGCTTGTGATTTTGTCTCTGACTCCACCTTGTACTTCATTCTTGTGCAGATAGTGTGGTTTAGAGATGACTTGGGGATTTCCCATCTCTGGAGCTACCCACCTCTTCAGCATTTCTAGCTGAAAAGGCTGTCCTTCCCCAGCCTGGTAAATCCCTGTGATAAGTAATTGTGCACATCTTTTTCTTTTTTTAAATTCATTAGTTGTCTTGATGGATTAACTTTTAAATTGGCTGCAACGTTAAGTTAATTTTGTTTGAATCTATTCCCATGGTCTGAAAGAATCAAAAAGCCTGTCCCGGTCCGGCAGTGCCTGATCTGACTGTGAGAGTCTCTGGTTTAACCTGCCTGCCTCCTTTATTCCATAGGTGCTGATAGTTGATCTCTGTGCAGACAGGTTCCTACAGGAGGTGAGTGACAAAGGAGATGGTTACATAATGTTTGGGGACATAGGTGTCTCTGTAGGCAATTACAATTAGACAGAAAATACGTGAAAGTACTTAGAGAGTATGACTCAGAAAGAACTTTCAGTTCATACCCATTTCTAAGTTGACACAGCAGCTAACCATACAAGATTGTCCTGAAAATTTTGGCTTGAGTGTATAGGTGTCCATCCCAAAGGAGGAAGGAGGAAACAGCATAAATGTCACTCTCAGAAAAGTAACCATCCCTTCAACTCCAGAGGGGTTGACATTTAAGCCTCTAAGTTAGTACAGTTTAATGGACTGAGAAGCAGCTCAGTAGCAGAGTACCCATCTAGATACGTAGGCTCCCATGTCCAACTCAGCACCACAGAGAAACAGAGAGAGAGACAGAGAGAAGGAGGGAGGGAGAGAGAGAGAGGAGCTTACTGACTTGGCTATTTGTAGATTCTCAGGCAGTTAAAATCTAAAGATGAGTAAGATAGAGTCTGGTAGATAAGGCCTGGAGGTGTTTCCATGATGCTTCAGAGATGGTATAATAGAAATCCGAACAAGGGCTGGAGAGATGGCTCAGTGGTTAAGAGCACTGACTACACTTCCAGAGGTCCTGAGTTCAAATCCCAGCAACCACATGGTGGCTCACAACCATCTGTAATGAGATCTGATGCCCTCTTCTGGTGTGTCTGAAGACAGCTACAGTGTATTCATATATAATAAATAAATCTTTAAAAAAAAAAAAAAAAGAAATCCGAACAACTCGGAAAGAGGTGGTCCTATCTGATGGATGCTCAAGGGAAAAGGGAGACAGCGACCGATGAATCTCAGAGCAGGTCTCTGTTTGAGCATGGAAACTGGATCCTTCTCTTGAAAATCAAGTTTAAACTACCATTTGTTGGGGAATAGCCTTGGAGTTAAGGAATGAAACTTGTAGATGAGAGATTTTGTAGAAAAAGTAGCAGAGAATTTTACAAGATGTTGCTTGATTTTTAAAAGTAAAGTTAAAATACACTGTAAACATCATGCATTTTGGCTCTATGTAGGTGATGGAATTTCAAATGACTCTTCAGGCAGAATATCCACAAAGCTACCTGGGATGGGGGCTGTACCTCGTACATGTTTGAAACTCTCATAAGGCTCATCCAGAATTGCTTCTTTCTCAGGTATCTGATGAGGATGAAATTATGCCACCTAAACTTCAAGCTGCCTTGGTGCAGATTTTAGAAGATCGAGATGAAGTCTTGGCCCAGGAGCGGCAGTTTTCGCAAGGTGTGAGATGTATGGGCTGAGAACTAAAGGTTACAGCAGTGAACACTCACCACAGACCCAACACTCAGCTAAAGGATGTGTCAAAGTAGTGCGCCTTGAACATTCACACCCTTTCTTACCAATCTCCAAAGTGTCAGTCCCCCTTCTGTCACAGGACTTTTGAAAATTACATTTACAGAATGCTTTCTTCCTCTAGGTCTGTCTCATGTGTCATTTTCTCTTTGAGTTAGTCCTGTACTTTAAAAAAAAAAAGTCCTCCTTCACCAGTACTTGCTCATTTTTTCCCCTCCCCTCCTCATGGCTCTTATAAAGTATGTGTCATTGACATAGTGGCACGTGCCTATAATCTCAGCACTTGGGAAGCAGAATGTGGGTCTGTATGAGTTTCAGGCCAGCCTGGTTTACACAGTGAGTTCAGGCCAACAAAGGCTATATATAATAAGACCTTGTCTCAAAAAAATGAAAACAAGAAAAAGCAGTGTCCTTATGGACATTTCAGATGGAGAACTGAGGCTGTCTACTGACTGGAACAGGATGGAAGGAACCGAATTAGAGGAGTGAGAAAGCCCTGTTCTGAGGTAGGGTGTGGTAACAAACCTTAATGTCAGCATTCCGAGACAGAGACAGGTGGATCTACATAGCAAGTTCTAGGCCGGCCTGGAGAAAGCTTGTCTTAAAACACACACACACACACACACACACACACACACACACACACACACACA